CCTGTTTGCCCTTGAAAAGGAAGCTGTTTTAGCTTGGTCAAAATATTTACTGGTCACTGGAAAATCAGAGAACACTGATGTTGTTAAGACCTTTTTTCAGGACTACGTCTCACAGCAGTGGAGACTCTTCAATAAAAATGGATGTGGCCCTCTAAAGGCTGGGGATCTTCAGAACAACCACTGTGAGAAGCTCTACCACAGCACAGCCCAGCAGCAGGTAAAAATCAAATGTGCTGGATTATACAAGCCCTTCCCCGAGACCGTGGTGTGCTCTGGAGGCAAGTGGAGTGCCCTACCTGTGTGCTACGCCGAGCAGGTAAAAGGGCGAGTTGAGTGCAAATCTGAAGGTGGAGCCACCGTCTGCAGGGCCTCATGTTCGACTGGCTGGGGCTCCACCACACACCCTGAGCCAGCGGAGTACAAATGCTCAAAGCCACCCTGTCCTTCCTTCATACCTCACAAGTGTAACAACTGCACACAAAACAGCGTTTGTGAGTACAATGAGGTCTGCTCTGGCGTCCTCGGCACATGTCGTGATGCATGCCTGGTGAATCCCTGTGGAGTGAACACCAAGTGCCACTCCTATAATCACAACAGGATCTGCAACTGTGTGAGCCCGTGGAAAGGAGACCCATACCAGGGATGCAAGAGTCAGGACCTCAAGTGGGTTCGGCCCAATAAAGTGCCCATCTGTAAGAAAACTCTTCTACTTCACATATACTCACATTAGATTAGGCTGATTCCTAATTTTAATGCGCTTATGTCCATGCTTTCAAATTAATGTACAGCAGGGGCGTAGCGTCTGGGTATGCAGGTGCATATGGGCCCGGCCCTGGCCCTGGCCTGGCCCTCGTCCGACAGCTTATCAGAATTCTTAGCCCGAGTCTGACGGGAGCCTGTGTCTTTTTTTTCTCTCTCTCCCCCATTGCACAGCTACTGTTGTAGCCATTAAAATGGTCCATTTTTTATTGTTTTTAAGGCAAAGTGGCTATATTTATTTTTGTTTCTTTATTAACTTAATAAAGAATATAGCCACTTTGCTTTTTTCGGCCAGCGGCAGACAGTGAGTTGAACATATGTATGTTTGATCAATTTAGCCTTCTCAAATCAACACAACTAGCCTAAAATAAAATCTATGGATGTAAAACACCATGCATTTCACAATATTAATTTAAACATTTAACCTAGATTAATGTGTGCTATTAGGTGCATATCCAATCTTTTGTGCGGAGAGTGGAAGCTTAAGTGCCAGCGCAATCACTTGCATTGTTTTTCTTAATAACAGTGAAAACCTAAAATACGCTGTCATTTGGGACTGCAAAGGGTCTACTTTTATTTGTGTGCACTCACAATATCAACAAAACGTTGAGCTTTTATAAAATAAAGAAAACAAACAGGATGCGCTTTCTGCCGTCTCGGTCTTGAGCAGGAGTGCGTCACAAAAATGAACCGAAACTCAGCGTATACTTGCCTCACAGACATGATAAAAATATCTATAGAATGCTTTATATTACTACTTTTGTAATCCGTAAAGATGCATTCTCTCTAAAGGCGCGTCCAGTGAGGAGATAATAAGTCAGGATCATTAACTTCATCTTTGCGACACTGACTCAGAAAACACTAGTTTATTAATAAATGATTCAAATATCTCCTTACTATTCCCCCCCCCCCCAACACATTCATGGTAATTACATTTGCTGGGGCTTTGCGGCAAGTTTTAGCCTATTGTATGCGCTTGAACGCAGAACTCTTCCAGCTGCACTGAAGGCACGCTCGCTACTGCTGCTGGCGGGGACACTGAACACCGTCCGAGCAGCTCATGGCAATTTCGGGTTGCAGAGGCTCGTGTCGTTTCCACCAGTGGTGCAAATCTTTTTTTTTTAATCACCATAATTGATGGATGTCTAAAGAGTCGTTTTTCTTGTTCGTTTATTAGTTTTTTTGAGCCACTGTGCCAAGATTGTGTTTGCATGCAGTACGTTGAAAAATAAATGACTTAAGATCAAAGTCAGAATTACGATAATAAAATCATGTTTACTGCGTAAGGTTAAAGTGAAAAATTTCAATTACTCCGCCAAAAAAAACCCTGTCATTATAAACATTTAACATGAAAAACAGCAATAAAAATATAGGCTTCAACTCGGTTAACTGGCTGATTTATAAGAATAATAAAACAATGTTGTCAAAGTTTTATTGTTGGCTTTTCCGAGGAAGGCTAAATGTTATGTTACAACTGTTATGACTATCACAAGCTGTTTTATTGACGTTTTTTGAAACTCTGATCGATTTCATGAGACGTTAATTTTTATTAAAGTGTTCAGATTTTTTTCAACATGCATTAAAATATTTATTCATGTTTATTTTGTGCTGCAAATCGGCTATTAAAGATGAAAAGAGAATTGATTCACATGCCGTTTGAACGGAGGCGAATATAGTTATCTCACTACAAATTAAAGAGCATAAAAACATTTTTTGTATTTTATCATAAAATTGACAGAATTTATAGGCTGAGACTTTGTGTTATAATAAAAGTAACAAAGCACAAAGCTTATTGCGATTATTGGGTGGCTTGCCTGCTACAAATAATGAATGTACTTGAAAGTGTTAAATATTATTTCCAAGCATTTATACCATAAATAAAGTGTAAGGTTATTTACTTCAGAAAAATCAACAATAAGTTAAGTTAACCGAGTTGGAGCCCATAACGTTTGGGGGCATTTACATTTAACCCCTGATGTACAGCATCACAATTCATTAGCTCTTTAAGCACCTTTATAACTGAGCTGCTTCTTACAGTTCCATATCTACCTGATCCCATGTAATGGAATTATAAAATCATGTAATTGAATTACAATGAAATTTACTGATAAGCACAGAAAATTGTAGGACATATAATTTAGGGAAAATCTGTTGTGCATAGGGCTTGGAATAGAAAACAGATTCAAATTTTGGAATCGAATACTTGTTACGAAATAAAAATTTAAGATCCTCTTATAGATTCCTATGTGTGCATTTTAATATGACTTTAAAACATTCATGCACAAGACCCACACGCTGTTTTCTGTGCTGCACACACATCCACAGCACATTCACAGAAAAAGTGATTTTATACCATTCACACACAAGAAGATAGTAGCACCACACTCACCTTTGAATCGCTGTTGTGATAGATAATAATAATAATAATAATGTCTCTTATCCTTGCAGCTTTTCACCATATTTTTCAATTCAAAAGTGAAACCTCTGAGGAAGGAATTGTTCTAAAAAAAGGTAAGTAGCATTTAGCAGTACGAGTAGCCTAAGTCGTAAATATAGACAATACAGTAGTTCTAGTAAGTGACGGGACCAGACGATCTCTGTTGCTGCGTCCCAGTTCGCTTACTTATAATACACCCTAAAAGTATGTACTCTTTTTTTTTGTTGAAGAAAATGTACATACTTTTGAGTATGTAGCAGAAGAGTAGACAAACTTAGAGATCATCATTAACGGACAGCTCTGTCGCTTAGTCACCACATCCTGTCACTATAAACTGCCCTGTCAATCATCTCGTCACAATTAAAACCATCCACATTAAATTGTATTAAATTTTCTACCATTTCTGAGATAAATGCAGCAGCACATTGATCTGCCAGTCACGGGTCTTTCATGCGGAGACTCTCGTACTCTCACGATGCATTTATATGTTTATGGTCAAAAGTGTCTTTATAAAAGTTCACAATGCTGTTGCAGATGAAATATAATGTGGATAACATTGAATAATTTTCTTTTTGTCAGGTTAGATACTGATTTTTAATCACTCAAACCCCTTTATCACTCTCCTCAAATTTCACATGTCCGCAGCATTTGTAGTTGAAAAAAAAAAACATTTTATCCGTGTTTGTAGTTCTAGTACTAGTTCAAATCTTTGTCCAACGCACAATGAGTTGTGGGCAAGATCTGCACTTTAGATTATGTAGCGTATGGACCAATCAGACTCACCGTTTTTCATTAGATTTAACAAATCAATTATTCATTAGATTAACAAATAGTCACAGACCCCTCACCCAATAAACATACTGGGTGCCAGGATGTCTGCGAACGACACCAGGCCCCTGGTCACCATGGCAACCACGACACCTTTTGCTAGACCAGATAGACTTTACGACCTAATGGCATGTTGAGAGTTCTCCCTTTCACTACGTTTTCCATAGGAGAGACACAATGCACAGTAAAAATGGACTCTTCTCTAATTAATTCATAGGAAAACCTTTCTTTGAATGAACACACATATACTTAGTGTTCTAAGAATCTTTAGTAATTTGATTTGACTTCCATTTGCAAATTACCATGCCCTCACACAAAGGGTCATAAAACTCCCCAGTATCCAAACTCCCGCTTGAAACTTCAGCCTTTCTCATTGAACAAGCCCATCCTAAGAGGCGGGAATCTTCTCAGACTTTAAAAGGGCCCACGCACAGTTCCGCCAGAGTGCTTTTTGTACCCAGCTTCTTGTGTTCTTCTTCTGCTAAGAAGCGTGTTGGAGCCTGAGCCAGTGCGGGCTCCAACACATAGCCAGCGAGTCTGCGGTTCTGTTAGATTCTGACCCATGAGGATGTGAGCTAGAACGCTCCTAAGGACACCCTAAGTTTGCGCCAGGCTTCGGCCAAGACCCTCTGACTCAAACTGGTTCTTTCTCATCAACCAACTTCAGCAAAGATCAACTTGAGCCTTCAGATTGCATCAGGAC